TTTTTTTGACCTTTTCTTCAGGGCTTTTACTATTTTGAAGCCCAATTCAAAAGCTAGAATTAAGATAAGAACTTAAAATCCTAGAATTTAAAAGCCCTTAAACCAATTTCAATACCCAACTAATAAAAAAAAAGAAAACATCTATTTTTGTTTTATATTTTTTATTTTTTTAGGTAGGACTCATACTTGCATTCTCTGATTTTTCTATTTTATATATAGTAAAAGCAACGCCCTTAAAAAAATTGAAAATCGCAAAAAGAATAACACAATATTATTTTATTTTATTCCTTTTTTTTTTTTTTTGCATTTTAAGCTCCTACCTTTTAAGGGTTTTATAATGCTAACTCACAGAGAAAGCTACAAGCATTTCGTGAGGAAAGCGCACAAAAACTACTTGCTTGTCAAGAAGAAATAAAAAAGATGAAATACGACCAGATGATGATGAAAGATATTGAAGAAAATTTTTACCAGGGAGTGAAAGAACCAGTCGAGGAGTTAAAGGAGAAAGAAAGTGAAATGCAAAGCTTGGAAGAGCTAAACAATGTTCTTTTAAGAAAGGAAAGAGAAGCAATTGATGAGCTGCAAGCAGCTCGTAAAGCTGCAGTTGAGGTAGAGTCCTACAACTCTTTTGGAAAAATCTAACCCTCAAAATTAAGATTTATATGTTTTAAAAGACAACAATAGACTGGTATACCTTTAATTACACAGGCATATTTTGGAGGACCCACTTTTCTTCATGATTTCTTTCGATGTATAACCATCTTTTGTCAAATTTTATTTTCTGATGGTTGTAACTTCTGAAGCTGACATATATCCATTCGTGCAGTATTTTGAGAAGAAATCAAATAATCGTTCATCTATAGGCGTGAAGAGAATGGGGGTCCTTGATGAGCAACCATTTACTCGTGCTGTAAAAGCAAAGCTTCCAAATGAAGAATGGGATTTGAGGGCATCAGAGTTATGCTCCTTATGGGAAGAACGCACAAGAAACCCATCTTGGCATCCTTTCAAGACAGTTACTATTGCAAGCATGGACAGAGTATGTAACTCTGAATTTTGTGAATTTTTTCATTGGCATTCCTGGACAAATGCATCTACATGACGATAGATATGCTTCATATAGCTGCATATGTGTGATTGAAGGTATCACAAAATGTGCACATCTCCATATATGCTTTCAACTTCTCTAGATGCATTGGATTTTCTTGGACATTTATTATTTCCTGCCTCATTAAGAAACTTGTTTGATGGTTTCCATGTATTCATACATTTATGGAGGCATAAATGGATATGCGTCTTTGCATTTTATTCACCCCTACCCCCTCTCTCTGTATACTGGTCAGCAAATGCAATCGAACCCCAAAAATTTAGAAGGATCTCATTTCTATTAGATGGCGGGATCTACAAGCAAATGCATATGCATCTTCCTAGGACCTCATTTCTATTAGGTTTCAGGATCAACAACCAAATCCATATGCATCTTCCAAGACCTTCCTGTTAATTTGTTTAGCATTCACTACATGATCTAGTTAACATTTTTGCATTTCAATTTTTTGCTTTTAAACAGAAATAAGTTGAAGTAAGGATCTGGGCCTTTGGGCTCAAAACATGGGGCTGTAAAGATACATTTATCTAGCCCAAAATATGACAGATACTGAAAGAAATGCATATTAAATATCATATGATCAAGATGTAATGTTTTTACTGTAGACCAGCAGTGTAACTTTCTCTATAGCTCTCATCTCTATATTTTTTAAAGCCAACGCATTTTTTTTGGCTCAAGATAGTCACTTTGGGAGATAGACCATCATAATCAAGTTGCATCGAACATAGCATAAACTCGCAGGCGGATAATGAAAGTGTTCAATTTTATAAATTCCTTTTCGCCTGCAACATATTGACCTATTAGATGTGCGGTAACTTCCCATATGTGTGTATCTTCTTAAATTCTTGATCTTATTGAGTCATTATTGAATTCTTTTTAGTTGGTTTTTTGTCATGCTTCTGATTTCATGGAAAATTCTGGTGATGGTGCAGGAGGTCATCGATGAAAATGATGACAAGTTGAGAGAACTCAGAGACGAATATGGGGATTAAGTTTTCAAGGCTGTGGAGACGGCAATGCTTCAACTCAATGAATACAATCCAAGTGGAAAATACCCTGTTCCTATTCTCTGGAGTTTCAAAGAAGGAAGGCAGGCCAAATTGGAAGAAGTAATTCATCATTTGGTGAATCAAATCAAGAACAAAAAGAGTAAGACATGGCATAGGTAGTAGTGTTTGTGCAGGGTACGGACAGTTAGATATGTCAGGTTTTATTTATTGGCCTAGATTTTGGCCCTACACCTTGGAGATGCTCATTATTTTTGTTGAACTATACATTTATTGAGGTGGTAATGAAAATAATGTTTGTTTATCATTTATTTCACTTTTACAGCTGATGTTGCAAGGTTTCATATGTTTCTATCATTCTCTGCTAACATGTAAATGAAATGAACACAGTAAATGGAACTCTGGTTATTGGGGAATGGTAATTTATTGCCAAAGCCAACATTATCGTTAGTAATGAGGAGAATAATAGGGTAATAATGAAATGTTACTAAACCAAAAAACTGGCATTAGGTGTGTTTTGATCCAAATAATTGAAGGCATTAATTTGGAGAGAAAGTATGGATCACCAAAAATTACGTTAAAAATTATGAACTTTTGTGATTTGGCTCAAAGAAGACTCTGAAAAATTAGATTTGAATAGATGACATGTCAAAAATTAAGCAATTTAAAAATTGCAAACTTTTGGGATTTGTCTTAAAAACAATTGAAACAAATAGATATGTGATGACATGTCAAAATTGAGGCATGTTAAAAATTATTAATTATCGAGATTTGATTAAAAAAACAAAATAGGAGGTGTGATTTAATTCAAGTGGAAGACTCAAAATACACAAGGGATAGGGTCAAAAGAACATGGTTGAAAGTAATGAGAAAAGATATGAGAACTTTTGGTCTCACTGAAGATCTGACTCTTAATAAAGTAGAATAGCAGATCAAGATTCGTATGGCCGATCCTAATTAATTAAAAAAAAGCAATGATGATTAAAAATTAAAGTGAAAAAAAAATAAAATTTCATATATGACGTGAAATAAAACTACAATCTGCATAAGAGCATGCAATGAGTCTAGGTAGAAATACAATAAAACCATTGAACAATAACCTTATTTCAAGACTTAGTAACAATTAGAGCAACCTGACAATTTTTTGGTCTAAATTGTCATTAAACACAACAATTTGATCTGCTCCGACTGTCATGACACGAAAATGGAGGCATACAATGGAATGACAACAATGATCCTAAACACGACTACATCAAATATCAAGAACAATAATTTTGAGGTGGAGGATTGTCATGCACCTCAAAAAATAATAATAATAATAAAATAAAATAAATTATAGGCTTGCAAATAACAAAAAAACCCAAAAAAATGAAACAATAGTTTATCTAAATTATTTTGTTGTGTAATAAATGAAGAAACGACTGAAAAAAGTTTGAAACCTAATAAAACTTATGGACACAGAAAGAACAACATAAGGCTCACTTGTACCAAGCAATCTATGTAAGCAAACACATGTATTTGAACCTCAACCCCATTCCTAACCACATTCCTATTTTCTTCGAGGAGTACTCTTTTTTAAGAGAATGTGTTTACATAAGTGAACATGTTCTCTAGGAAAGCGGTTCTTGTGGGGAGTATATTTTTTTTTTATTTGGAATTATTATTGGTTAAATTAAGATTCTTGATTTAGTCTCTGGTTATCTCAAAACCAAAATTCAAATATTTTAGATCAATCAAGATAAGGGAAATTTTAAACAGGGAAAAGTTTATATAAGGGCAAGGCCCTAAATAATCAAATTAAGACGCACCTCAAAAATTTCCTAGAAGTGGTTGTTTCGATGCCCAAAAATCCTCAAATTGATCATTTGGACCACAAGATGCATGGACATGAGAAAAAATGGATTTCAATTCTTAGAAATATTGCATCTTATAAAGCATATTCAGACCGTTAATTTTCAAGATTTTTAAGTATTCATAGATCTGCTCAATCTATACTATTGTATTTATTTATTTTTGGGTAAGTCAGTGGGGGAGAAGGCCCCTACCTGTTTTTTATTAATACTAAAAATAAAAAAAATGGGTAGGGGGGGCCTTCAGCCCCACAGAGTTACACAAAAATAAATAAAATTAGACTTACCCAAAAATACATAAAATTGAAGCTTTAAGTTTTATAATTAGAGATGAAAATGAATTTTCAGGCCATCACAAATATTTTTGATATTGAAACAATATCTTTCAATACTATTTGAAGGTGTCCTATATTTTGATTGTTTAGGGCCTCGGCCTTATACAAACCGCACCCTTTTAAAATAGTTTAAGTTTCAAAAACTAACGTGTTTAATATTATTTAAGAAAACTATTTTATTTTCTCACGCTTTTGAGATAATTTTTGTGTTATTAATGAAATTCCTAATGCTTTGATGAATTGGAACTCCGCAAGTCTATTATCCGATTGACATATTTGAAGCACAAAAAATGGTTTGAATGCAATAAGGTGGCTCATGTTAAAAAGTGTAAAATAAGAACTTCCTTTCTAAACTATTTGGACAGGCAAGCTGGGGCGGGCTCTTAACAATAACACGGCAAAGGTTTGAAAATTCGGTGATCCGGATCAAAATAAGCCGATTCATATTAAGAATTAGTCGGACTTATTTAGATCCCAAAAAATATCGGGAACCAGCCAGTTCCTCTTATTAATGTGCCAATTCCGTTCAGGTTCGTACCGGTTCTCTTGCAAAAGTGGCTGCTTCTTTCAAAAAACTGGTACCAACCAACTTCACATTATATTTTTTAGTCACTGAATTGGCCAGAACCGGCCCCTACTAATTTTTAATTTTTTTCGGATTGTTGATCCTTCAAACCACAACAAAAATCCTGAAGACCTATTTGGGTCATTTATTTTTTTTCATCAAGTTGAACCATGGGTTTTCGAAAAAAACAAATTGCATGCAGTGCCTGTCTATTTTTTTTTTCAATTTATTTTTATTGGTAAATACTTAGGTTAGTTGTGGACTTTGCACGTATAGTAAGTAGATCATGTATAGCAAATATATTGGTAGGCGTGATTGCTATATTTTTCTGTGTCTCCTTCACACATATTTGAGCACAGTCTCTTTATTTGTTTGTTTGTTTATTCAGTCATAAATATAGGCCCGTTTGACTGGTACAATTTGGCGGACAAAGCCATCTTCGTTCCTCCGCCCATTTGGGACTAGGGGCAATGGGTGGAGTTTGCTGGACCCAAACCCATATAGTATTCGAGTCTAAGTTTGGATCGGACTCAATATGTCGGGTTCAAAAGTAGGACCCATACCCATACCCATCAGGTCCAGGGTCTTTCCCTTCGGGTCTCGGGTTTGTTCTGGTCTATTGCCACCCTCACTGTGAATTTCTGAAAAGCTTCCAGTGAATTTAGTTTTGGAAAATAAATATTTCGGATCTTGAAATCTGAGAGGGGTAATTTAGTCATTTTTAAAATACCGATAAAATGTTATAGTATTGAAGGGATAATAAGAGAAAATTTATGTGAAATTCTTGATAATAGCAAATATTTGTGTAATTAAGTTTAGGTGAAATTCTTGAAAATAGCAAATATTTGTGTAATTAAATTTAGGTGAAATTCTGGAAAATAGTAAATATTTTTGTAATTTTTTCTTAATTTTAAGAAGCCAAAAAACTAAAAATAAATAAAATTATATCGTGTTGTTATTTTTGTAATTTACAATTTGTAAAAAGGAAAAATCAGAGAATGCATAAAAGATCCCTAGGACCCAAAATAGAACAGAAAAATCTATGGTTTCCTTTTTTGAAATTGGTTCAAGGGCCTTTAAATTTTTAGTATTTTAATTTTTTTTTGTAATTATAGCTTTTAAAAAATACAGAATAAAAATTAAAATTTTTATTTTTTTAATGCCATTTTGAAATTATTTTAAGTGCTTTTAATTTATAGCATTATAAGAACCCTTAACAAGATCCGAGGCTATAAACAATATGCAAAAAAAAAAAAAGAGAATGAATTATTATCTGGTTGGGGCACCTTTAGTATTGACCATTGAGTTAGTGATGCTTGATGTGGAATTTTTGATGACTTCCTTTATCTTATTTGAAATTTTACTAGATTTTTATTTTTTTGTCTACTTTTACAAATATGTGATTATTTTTTCGATTTTCTTTAATTATATACTTTTATTTTTAACAATTAGGGCAATTGAGGTTAAAGAAAATAAAGAAATGAGGAGCAGGAATGCAGAAATGACATGAAGAAACAGAAGATGTATCTCTTACCTTCCCCTCGCTCTCCTATCTTCCACAGACAGGTTAACTAACTTGCACAGAAGAGAGAGAGAACTGAGACTTCAATTCAACAGAGAGAGAGAGAGAGATGAATCTATATAAAGCAAGAGAGAGCAAGGGAATTATGTGTAAGTATAGCGAATTAGGTAAACCAAAAAAATAGAGAGAGAAAGTAAGTTATAAAAAAAAAAAAAAATAGAGAGAGAAAGTAGCCTTTATCAGAAGCACTCGGAATTTTATCCGAAGAGCGGATTTCAAGGGGTGATAATTTATGCCAAGTGCGGATTTAACTAAATGGACAAGACTGCCCCTCGACTCTTTTTTAAATACCCTGAAAGGCCTAGTGAAAATTCGGCAGATATATATTAGTTTTAGTACAATATCATCTAAAATTTTTCACTTATCACATTCAAAATTTTGCATGCTTTAAATTATTATTTTTTTCAAAATTGCCCTGGTTCTTTATTTTTCAGAATAAAAATAAAATATGGACAAAAAAACTAAAAATAAATTAAAATTATGTATTGTTATTATTTTTGCAATTTCTTGTTTTTTTAAGGGTGTTTACAATATGTAAAAAAGAAAAATAAGATAATGCAAAAAAGAGCCCTACAACCAAAAATACACAAGAAAAATCTATGTTTTTTTGTTTAATTCGATTTTGAAATTGGTTCAAGGGCTTTTAAAATATTAGTATTTTAAATTTTTTTTTTTATTGTAGCTTTTAAAGTCAGCTTTGAAATAGTAAAAACCGTAAAAAAACACAAAAAAATACAATAAAAATCAATATTTCTTTTTTAATTCAGTTTTGAAATTATTTTAAGTGCTTTCAAATTCCAGCATTATAAGAACCTTTAAGAGGTAGGAGCTTAAATGCAAATAATAATAATAATAATAATAAATTATAGTCTATTGCTCTTTTTGTATTTTTGTTTTTTCAATAGCATTTACATTATGTACAAATAATGAAAAAAAAAAAAA